ATGAAACAGAGAATTTTATGTTACAACAGGTGCGGGAGCTACACTGCTTACACTGCTGGCAGTCCAGGCGACTTGGCCCGAGGCTACAGAGGCACTGTTCACATCGAAGCTATTAGATATGATTCGGAGGGGTCGGCTCCCATGGTCCCGCGGGGACCTCGGCGGGATCTCCCCTGTTTGGACCCCTGGGGCTCGTGCGCCAGAGTGGTGGGAGGCCTGTTCACGAGCAGCCTGACACATCGAGCCCTGCCGAGGCAGGGAGTTCCGCGCAACCCCACTTTCCCCTCGGGCTGATGCCACTTTCCCGAGGGCCACCCTGCTAGCCCCCTCCAGTTGCCCTGCGAGTGCTGCGAGGAGGATGTCCTAGGCAAAAACAGAAGGAGGAGAAGGAGGTGGAGGAGCAGGAGAAGAAGGAGGAGGAGGAGGAGAAGGAGGAGAAGGAGGAGGAAGATGCCCCACTATCTGGCGCCCCCCCTGGCGCCGTCTTGCGGCGCCTTCCCCGTCCACCCCCCCCACCCACCCGACGAGGCCCTGCACACTGGCGCCGGCCTGAACTCCACCGAGGCGTTCCGGCACGCCCTGAGGCGCCTTGAAGGGGGCGCCTCGAGGAAGACGCGGAGGAGATGGGAGAGGAGGGAAGAGTCGAAGAAGAACACGTTACATACACGTAAAAACTTTTGGCGCTCCGCGCGGACTTCTTGGATCCGAGACGGGCCCCCCCCCGGCGGCGGCTCCAGCGCCGCCCCTGGAGCGCGTCCAAGTGCGGATGCAAGAAGTCCGCGCGGAGCGTCACAAGTTTCTGTTTTTTGCGTTTTTGTTGCTCCTTCTGAAGAGAGGAGCAGGAGGACTGGAATGAGGACGGGGGTCGAGCAGGACAGTAGATGGCATAGCATGGTGTTGAAGATCAACGCGTTATTAGCCTTGCATAGCATGGCGTGGCGACGCCCCAAAGTGGTGCGGGCTTCTGAGACCCCCAACATCAACGAATCGGCACCCAATGTGTACTCACTTCCGATTGTTGTTTCGGGTGGGAAGCTTCCAGATTGTGGGGCCTTGGGGCTTATTTGGAAGGACCGGAAACCATGCCGTGACATGGCGCTGGAAATAATGAAGCCAGCGTTGCAGCGCGAGCACGATTCGGAACGAGCGGAAGAGCGGAAATGAGGCCAGCGCTGCAGCGGGAGCACGATTCGGAACGAGCGGTTGCCTGACAATGAAGCCAGCGCTTCAGCGAGGGCAGCATTTTGAACACAGAACCCAGGCGAAAAGCCGGCTCCGGGGAATCCTGTGTGTACAAACCCGTACGCGGAGGAGGGGCGGAGACTTCCCGGACGCCACCAGGGGAGAGAAGAGAGAGAGCAGCGCTCGCATGGTGCAACACTGCCGAGGGGGGAGGACGCGTGAGCGGGGGAGAACGCGGGGGGGAGCACGAGGGGGCAGGAGGCGAGGGGACCCCCGCGCGGAGCCCCCCGCTGCGCCAGGGGATCGCCCGACTGCCGGCCCCAGTCCGGGCGACACCCTCAGGCCCGGGCGGCGCCCGCGGGCGGCGGCGCGCTCGCCGCCGCCCTCGCCCAGCAGTGAGCGGGCGGCCTGCTGCTGCGCCGCGTCTCTCGCGCGCCCCGGCTGCTGTGAAGGCGCCGGCGCCGGTGACGTGTGCCCCTCTCCCGCTCGTCCTCCTGGTCGCAAGTCTACCTGGCGTCGCTCCTCCTCCTGCTGCTGCTGCTGCTCCTCCTCCTCCTTCTCCTCCTCCTCCTCCCCTTTCGTCCCTCGTCCTCCTCCTTCTCCTCCCCCTTCTTCTCTTCCTCCTCCTCCTCCTCCTCCTCCTCCTCCTCCTCTCCTCCTCCTCCTCTCTCCTCCTCCTCCTCCTCCTTCCTCCCCTGTCCTCCTCCTCCTCCTCCTCCTCCTCCTCCTTCCTCCTCCTGGGTATCCTCTCCTCCTCCTCCCTGCCTCCCTCCCGCCCGCCCTCCCCCCTTCCTTCGCCCGTGCTCGCAGGCGGTGTCGTCCGAAAAGCAGAGGCCTGTGTGAGCACACATTCTCCAGATGAGCACATGAGGAGCAAAAACAACCAGAAACATACTCCAGGTTTTCGTATTAAAAGGGAGGGGGTCTGGACCCTCCAAGACAAGCCATTTCAGACCTCCCCCGTGGGAGAACCCTCCAAAACATCGTCCCCAGACCCCCCAGGCCCTCCAAGATAGCCTGGAAGAGACCCCCCCCGAAATGAGAACCCCCTCCTTTATTACGAAATCTGGAGTAATTGTGTTGCTTCGAGCTGTCCCCACCGAAACCTTTGGCGTTTGCTTCCGACGGTGAACGCGCCTATTGGAACGATGCGCGCAGGACCCGGCGGTCTCGGCCAGCTTGGCTGCTGGCCCAGGTCGCAAAGTTGCCGTTGTCCTAAAATTTAGGAGCCCCAGGTTGTCGTGGAGGAAAGCCCTTGACGAAGGAAACCGAAACAAGCCCTGGGACGGAAAGAAAAACAAAAACGTGTGGTGCGAGCAAGACCCCAAAATTTGTTCGGAGAGAGTCTGCAACCTGTTGACAGAGAAGGAGAAGGAGGAGGAGGAGGAGGAGGAGGAGGCTATATTGTGTCGCTTGGCTTCTGCCCCAGTGTAGGACACGGCATTATGTTATGCTACGTTATGTTCTGGACGGGCCGGCGTGACGTCGTGTTGCCTGTCACGATAGATACGTCGTCAAGTCGGTAGTTGCTGCGCCTGTTGGTTCCTGTGGCCAGCCTGACCTCGATGCGAACGTCGCGCTTGATAATATGTAGTATGGTCTACCAAGTGATGGCGTGTCTAAAATGTCATGTGTTTTTCTTATGTTGGGGTATACCTTGTTCTGCTCACCTCGGCCACTGTATGAGTTGATATGCGATGCTATGTGCTGCTCTGTAGCGCCATGTCCTGATATGACATGCTATACCAGGAGATGCGTTATTTTGTATGTTCAGCGGCGTTGCCTACACAATGTCCAGTCCATTACCGTAGACTGGGACCTGCTCTGTTATGAGTTACCTGTCCTTCAGTGAGCACGTCGTCTATGATGATATATCAAGCTCGTTGCCATAGTGGTAGCTGTCGTAGAACATACGGTTTGGTATACTGGCTACGTTTTGTTATGCTCACTCGATCATGCTAGGATCGGTTGTAGTATGCGTTCCCCCTGCACTATGCTTAATCGGATGAAGGTGTAGTATATGTCATGTTATGCTCCGTCATGGCATTGTACAGTATTATCCGTTATGGCATGTCATGCTCTGGTCTTCGATGATGTTAGTTTGTACCGCGCTCTGTCATGGTATGGTTTGTCAAGGCCATGATGTGCTAGGTTATGAGTTGTTACGCAAGGTTATTGGCTTTTCTGTTATAGCATGACGTGGGATGGTATGATGTGCGGTGGCAATCTCCGTGCCGACTGATTTGCCCTGGCGCTGCATGCATTGGTGTGTTCTGGTGTTGCATGATATGGTCTGCCGCGTTATGTATGATCGGTTATGCGACTTTTTATGCAGAGTGGTGTTCTGCTATTTTATGATCTGTCATACCGCGCTCTGCCATTGTATGGGTTGCCATTATATGTAAGTGTACCATCTGTGGTGCGGTCGTGTGCCATTATCTGGTATGGGTCGTTATTTAATTGTGTATGGTCGTTATCTGACGGTATGGTATTTTTATCTTGCGCTGCATCATGTTACGTTACCGTGTGTGGTGATGTGCTCTGCTATGATTGCTCCGCTCGTGCATTGCATGCGTTTCGATGCGGTGTTATGGTATGATTTGCTTTGTCACGATAGTATATGATGTGCTGTGTTATGCTGTGATGTGTGTTGGCATGCCCTGTTCTGTATGATCCGCTATGGCATTGCATGCTTTGTCATGCTTTGCTATGCTATGATACGGTATGCCATGGTATGTTATGCTCGGTTATGGTATTGTGGCATTCTAGTGTACGCCCTGCTATGTCATGATATGTTATGCCTCGCTCTGTCATGTTAAACGTTGCCATTATATTGGATGGTGAGTCATGTGATGCTGTGTGATGGTAGTATATTATGTTAGTGTATGCACCGTCATGCTATGTTATGTGCTGTTATGTTGTGCTATGTTATGTGTGGTGTTCTGCTCCGGTCTGTGAGCTTCTCTCGTGCTCGTCGAAGGGGCGAAGCGGGAGCCTTGGGGGTGTCTCGGTGGACCTGGAGATCCGGCGGCCGCGTTGTGCAGAGGGGGCGGGTCGGCGCGAGGCGGGAGTCCCGAGGGATTCTGGGTGGACCTGGGGATCTGGCCGCCGCGGGATGCAGGGTGGGCTGGCCGGGAGGTCTGTTCGTTGTCTCAGCTTGTCAGGCGGAGAATCAGTTTCCCAAGGTCCCCGCGGATTCGTTGGGTCGGCACCGAGCAAATTTTTAAGTTCTGGGGTACCTTGACATCGCTTCACCATTATAATCACACAGTGACGTTATTTGGCCGGTTGGAATTAGTCCCAGTTTGTCTTTTCGAGCCATTTGGAAAGTGTACCAGTCGGTTGGGATTAGCCCCAGTCGGTTTGAGTTCATACCGCATGCGTGGCAAACCCCTCCCCGAAGGGAAAGAAGGGGGGTTGGAAGAGGAGCCTCCCTAGACCACACCTACGCCCGGAGGGCTGGCAGGATTGGTTGATCGGGGCTCCTTTCATTACCCTGGTGGGCCCCTCCAGCCTACTCTGTTTATCCCTTGATGCATCACAGCGCTTGCGTTGGGTGCCGGTACTCGGGTCTTAAGGGGGTTATCTTGCCTGGCGTGGCCCGCCGCTGTCGCGTTGCCCTCTCTGACCGCCGGTCGGCCTCCCACAGCTTCCCATGGATCCCTATGGCTTCCCACGGCTTCCCCCCCCACTGAGTCGTTGCGTTTCCGATCGCCGCCTGGTTCCCTGTGGCATTTCTCAGGCGGCTCGGCTTCCCAGGGTTTCATCGGCGGCTCTTCTCCTATAGTGTCGCATCCCTCCCCCAGAAACTGCACCGCTGCCACGCAAGAAGCACATGAGCGATGGCAGAAGGCGGGGCCGTCTTCGCCTGCACTGGCGCGCAGCTTGCCCGGCGTGGGGTCGCGCGTGGGCGCCCTCCTCTCCGGTGCGGCGTGCCGCGCCCCCGGCCCGCGCAGGCCGCGGCGGAAAAGGTCGCCATGGCACCTCGCGCAAGGCCCGCTTCTGCCTGCCGCTGACATGCACAGTCGTGCTTCCGCGTCGCCCGCTCCGTGCTGGCACTGCCGTGCCTCGGGTGGGTGCGCCCTGCCCCCCCCCTGGGCCCGACCACGGAGGGGCCCGCCGGGCCCAGGCTCGATGTGCACAGCCCCTTGGCCTGGTCGCGAAGGGGTCGCGCTCGCCTGCGGGTCAGCGATGCGTCCTCTGTGTCCCAACCATCCTGTGGTGTTGGGTCTTCGTTCTGAAGAGACGGTGCCCCGCGTCCACTCCTTCCTCCTTCCCCTCATCCCTCCTCCCACTACCATCATCATCATCATCATCATCATCATCATCATCATCATCATCATCATCATCATCATCATCAGGATCATCAGTATCATCACCATCATAATCACCCTCATCATCATCATCATCATCATCATCATCATCATCATCATCGTCATCATCATCACCTTTTTTGTTTTATCATGATCATCACCATCATAATCATCATCATCATCAATATCATCATCATCATAATCATCATCATCATCATCGTCATCATCATCATCATCATCATCATCATCATCGTCATCATCGTCATCAGCATCGTCATCATCATACTCGTCATCATCGCAGTCATCATCACAATGATCGCCAACAGCTTCGGCACACCCCTCACACGTTGCGTGGCTCCATCGGGAGGAGCTCCGCCGAAGGCCCCGGTGGCGCTGTCCACATGCGTCCGCGCCACCCATGCCGGCACACCCCTCACCCGTTTCGTGGCCCCACAAGGAGCTCCACCGAAGGCCCCAGTGGCGGTGTCCATACGCGTCCGCGCCACCCACGTCGGCACACCCCTCACGCGCTTCGTGGCCCCACAAGGAGTTGCACCGAAGGCCCCAGTGGCGGTGTCCACATGCGTCCGCCCCACCCATGCCGGCACACCCCTCACATGCTCCTTGGCCCCACAGGAAGCTCCACCGAAGGCCCCAGTGGCGGTGACCACACGCGTACGCGCCACCCATGTGGGCACACCCCTCACACGCTACGTGGCCCCATAGGGAGCTCCACCGAAGGCCCCAGTGGCGCTGTCCACATGGGTTCGCGCCACCGCCTCGCCGCCGACGGAAGAAAAGTTCTTCTGTCCGCCGTGTCCTTGCATCGCGGGCTGCGGAGTGCCGAGAGCACCTCCAGTACTAAGTACTACTTCTCCCCCGTCCTCATGTTCGAGCATCTCCGCCCTCAGAGGTTCTTTCGAAGGGCAGTCTCGTCGTCAGGAATTCCCCTGCTTGTGTCTACGATCACACCCTCCCCTCAAGCATGTCATGTCGCCGCCTTTCCCTAGATGCATAGTGCCTTGCATCTGCCAGGTGCCATTCTTAGGGTGAAGCCCGCGCTGGCTAAAGTCAGTTTCGCATTAT